CTTGTCCCAGCTGTGCTGCTGGTGTGCTACGAGATTTCCCAGCCTTGTGGGGTCTTACTGTCTTATTTTAAAATAGAAAGAATCCTGAGTCAACAAGAAGTGGTTGCAATGTTCCAGGAGCTTTTATAGATATTAGCTCAGTGAATTTTAATCTTCACAACCACCCTGTGTGGCTGGTGGTATTACTCATATTTTGCAGATGAAAACCTTGATGTTCTGAGAGATTTAATGACTAGTAAAGATGGGATTGAACCATGGTCCTCCCTTTAACATGATAGATGAGTCCACATCATCTAGAAGTCACCTCCAATGTTAAATATATTCGATTGCATGATTTCATGTTGAATTCTTTTCTTGCTATGTTGCCCAGACTCGAGTGCAGTGACTGTTCACAGGCAAGATCATAGCATACTACAGCCTCGAACTCCTGGGCTCAAGAGATCCTCCCACCCCAGCCTTCTGAGTAGCTAGGAATATAAGTATGCAACTCTGGCCTGGCATCATGCTGAATTCTTAAAAGGGGTCATTTTTAGAGATTCTTTTGATGCTTTGGGTCTAGAATTATTTTCCTAATCTGCTACAACCTAGTTATAACCTTATCTTGACTTTTAAATGTTTTCAGATTTTAATATCCTCTTTATGGTAATTTAATTACCATTTTGCCATAATCCCTTTTATCTATTATTTAACTTTTGCATATCGAATGTGCCTAATTCTTTATTATCTTTTAATGTTTTAAATTTTTTTAATTGTGTGATTTTTCAGGGCTGTGTTTACTACTTAGTGAATTTCAGGCACAAGGTGCACAGTGCATGTAGATACTTGCAGGGTTCTCTGATGCTTTTGCCTACACAGACAAAATTAATAGCCCACTTTTGGTATGCTCATAATTTTGAAAAAAAGAGTGAAGTGCTGCAATAAGAGTATACCTGATGTGTGAAATTAGAAGCAAGTAAAAACATTATTTTTCTCCCCTAAATCTAATATATATTATTTCTACAATAGAAATTAATCTGTTGGTGATACATTTAGGAGATTTTATATGCTTAGGAAACTAAAACTGCCTTTAGCTGCAGGTAAGCTACCTAAACAATAGCAGAAACAGAGAGGAGTGAGGTGGAAAACAATCATTTATGACCAAAAGGAATAAGAACTTAGCTGTCTTTGAAAAGATAAGTTTCATTCACATAGGATAGTAATTATATTATTTTCTCTTCAGAACACAATTTCTCATAGAATGAATCATAAATAGTCTGAATGAACACTGAATAATTTTTTTTTAGGTTTATCACCCTTACCTAAAAAGAACTTTGGGATAGATAAAAATTAGAACATCAAGTAAACAACTTCCTACAATACCAAAAACTACTTAAGAGAAATGCTATTGCTTGAATCAGTCATGGGCTGATGACTCATCTCTTAAATTAGACCTCAACTACAGAGCAAAGAGATCCTTGCTTGGAGGGTCATATATAAGAGAAAGGAAGTCACCATCAGTGAAAGGACTTTCTTGTAGCCTTTAAGTGATAACCTTTTGTCTTACTGATACATTCTAGTAGCATTCTCTGGGGCCAGCCAAATCCAGCTAACATGAACTCGAAAATGCGCCATCATAGGTAGACGATTCACAATTGGAGGTCTAGCCCTTACTACCATTTCCTCTCTCTGTTGATGTGTAGCTGTTGTAGGATACTCAGATCTCTATTATAGTCCACTGTGTTCTGTTCATAGGAAATGGTTTCTCCACAGTTCTTGTTCTCAGTTTCTAAGTTGTCAGCTATATTGCTTAAAACTTTGACCACCAACATATCATTGCTCCCTAGCTTTGGAAAATGTATTTATACAAGTATTAAATGCATAATTCTTCAAAAATTAAAATATTAAATAAATGCAGAGATCAGAGTATCCAATAATTCATTTTCTACCAAGTAATTGTTGAGCACCTTCTAATTTAGTTTCCCCTTTTCTCCTTCCCAGTCTATGGAAATGGGCATTAATGTCTCCTTGCAAACTCAAATGAACTAATAGCTGAAGGGGGTAGTGGATTTATTTATAAAGTTATTAATTTATGTACTGCTTAGAGCAACAAAAGTAATATTCCTAAAGGGCCTTTCAGCTGGGCACAGTGGCTCACCCCCATAATCCCAGCAATTTGGGAGGCCAAGGCAGGAGGATCACTTGAGCTTAGGAGTTTGAGGTCAGCCTGGGCAACATAGTGAGACCCCATCTTTTTTCACTTAAAAAATTTTTTAAAAATAAAATAGAGGACCTTTCCATAGTTTTCACTATAGTAGACTAAATAAATATCTAATTTGTCACCAAAATATGCGAAAGCAAGATCTAACAATAACTTCACCTGGGAAGTAAAAAATATCTGTACTTTGGTGTGTTAATATATGGGTGACAGAACAAGCTGCAGATGGGACTAAAAATTTTATTTTTAAAGTATCAAAACATAGCCTGGGTATGGTAGCTCCCACGTGTAACCCCAGCACTTTGGGAGGCCAAAGCGGGCAGCATGTTTGAGCTCAGGAGTTTGAGACCAGCTTAGGCAACATGGCGAAACTATGTCTCTATAAAAAATGTAAAAATTAGTGCCTGTAGTCCCAGCTCCTTGGGGGACTGAGGTGGGAGGATAGCTTGAGCCTCGGAGGTCAAGGCTGCAGTGAGCTATGATCACATGACTGCATTCCTGCCTGGGTGACAGTGAGACCCTGTGTCAAAGAAAAAAGAAGAATTGGACATACTAGCTGACACCTGGAATCCTAGCACTTTAGGAGGCTGAGGTAGGAGGATTGCTTGAGCCCAGGAGTTCAAGACCAGCCTAGGAAACATGGTGAAACACTGTCTCTACAAAAAAAACACAAACACTGTTTGTGCATGGCAGCATATACCTGTAGTCCCAGCTGCTAGGGAGGATGGCATGAGTCCATGAGATCAAGGCTGTAGTGAGCCTAGATTGCACCTCTGCACTCCAGCTTGGGTGACAGAGCAAGACTCTGTCTCCAAAAATATATATATATATATTTTATATATATTAAAATATAAAATTTGGGCTATTTCTATGTTTGTAACACCTTTCCTTAATGATTAGAGCTGAATTTATAGGCTATGTCATTCAAAATGTATAATAATTGAACCCAATTATAAATATAAGGCCAGACTCATTTCTCCTCTATTTGAGCATTTATGTATATGAACTTTAATCTACAGCCACTTAAACTGCTAATATTTAAATATACCCAAATTATTTCCTATAAAATTATGACATAGTTGTTTTTTAATGTCTTAATTTTTTAACTTATTTTTGAAATAATTTTAGACAAAATATTGCAAAAATGGTACCAAAAAATTCCCTTATACCTTTTACCCAGATTCCTCAAATGCTAACATCTTATATAATCACAGTATAATTATTTTCAGGAAAATACCATTGATACAAAACTATTATCTAATTTACAGATATTCACATTGCCACTACTAGCCCTTTTCTGGCCCAGTTTCCAATCTAGAATCACACAGTGTGCTTAGTTTCATATCTCCCTGGCTTTACCCAGTCTGTGACAGTTTCTCAGTCTTTGTTGACCTTGTGACTTATGAAGAGTACTGTCCATTTATTTTGTAGAATGTTCTTTAGTTTGGGTTTGTCTGATGTTTCCTTACAAATAAATTGAGGTTATATATTTTGGTTCAGAATACCTCAGAAGCAACATTGTGTCATCCTCAATGTCATACTTGTTCCCATTACCGATTCTGTTTAACTTTGATCACTTGGCTAAGGTGCAGTCTGCCTGGTTTGTTCACTGTAAAATCACTGTTTTTTCCTTTGTGATTAATTATTTTACTAGGAGATTCTCTGGGACCATGTAAATAACCTGTTTCTCAATATGATTACAAGGTGCCAGAGTATCTCCTTTCACCCACAAATTTTAGCATACACATAAATACCCAAAGACAAATAATAAGACAAATGCCATTCATTGAATCAGTTATCAGCTGATTATTCATCTCTTAAATTAGGCCTCATCTTCAGGGCAAGGAGTAAAATGTTTAGTAGTCTTAAACGTTTCGATTTCAAGAAGCAAAAGTAAAAAGAGCACATAATTTGAATGTGATGAATTATTGTGGAACAAAGAATTAAATTTTTTGTTATATGCAAATAAATACATTAAAAAAAAAAAGAAAACCTCATAAAAATCCATTTATAATGCCATGCTCCATTTCTCAGTTTGTCAACACTTCCTCATCCATTGATTCAGATGAAGAGTATAATAGCAGCTCACACCATAAAAGGGTGGAGAACTACTAACTTTAAACACCTTTCTGGTTTGAACTATACCATTATTTTACAGAGTTCCATGCTATTCAATTTTGTTTCTTTGCTGAAGAGTTTAAATTGTAGCCAGCATTTATTTTTGGTGTGGTTAAAAAACAAAACAAAAAAAAAGGTCAGGCATGGTGGCTCATGCCTGTAATCCCAATACTTTGGGAGACTGAGGCAGGTGGATTGCTTCAGCCAAGGAGTTCAAGACCAGCCTAGGCAACATGGTGAAACCCTATCTCTACAAATAAATATAAATTGCTGGGCATGGTAGCCCACACCTATAGTCTCAGCTCCTCAGGAGGCTGAGGTAGGAGGATCACCTGAGCCAGGGAAGTTGAGGCTGCAGTGAGCCAAGATTGCACTACTGCACTCCAGCCTGGGCTACAAGAGTTGAGACCCTGCCTAAAATCTAAAAAAAAAAACTACCACATTTTGTATTATCATATGCAAGTTGATCTGTCTACAACCAAAGCTTACCATTAATCTAGAGCTATGCCCCATCATTCATTCAGATTTATTCCAAAGAAACTGTATTATAGAAATTTTATTTCTAGAAAGAATATGGATTAAGTCTCATTATAGATTTTGTATAAAATGATGAAGAATTTCTGATACCAAATACCTTTGTTCAGGCTTTGTTGTTTGTCTCTTGTTTTTGTTGTGTTGTTTTTAACAGCTTCATCACTGGTCCAGCTGTAATACCAGGATACTTCTCCGTTGACGTGAATAATTTGGTACTCATTTTAAATGGAAGAGAAAAAGCAAAGATCTTTTATGCCACCCAGTGGTTACTTTATGCACAAAATTTAGTGCAAATTCAAAAACTCCAGCATCTCGCTGTTGTTTTGCTTGGAAATGAACATTGTAATAATGAGTGGATAAATCCATTCCTCAAAAGAAATGGAGGCTTCGTGGAGCTGCTTTTCATAACATATGACAGCCCCTGGATTAATGACGTGGATGTTTTTCAGTGGCCTTTAGGAGTAGCAACGTAAGTACAAAATATGATTAAACATTTTTAGGCACTAACACCTGAATTTCTGAACCAGGAAGATTTATTCACAATTGTAATAAATTTAGTTCTTCTGGGATTATTGAGGCCAGGTACAATCTTAGAGATAAAAATAGTGTGTGGTCTCATGCCTCAATAACAATTATGATGTTTTTAGAGTATTTTGTTATTTTATAAGGAATGAGTTACTTTTTTTGTTTTAAAACCCCAAGGCATAGGATGGATTTTTCAAGCTTATTAGGAGTGCCATAAAATATATATTTAGCAGAGAAATGGCAGACTTTTTTTTTAAAAAACAATGGTAGTATCTATATAATTTATAGTTTTAAAAAATGTAATATTATTATATCAGGAATATACTGTAACATTTGGGACTGGTTGAATTTATACAAATCCTTTCTATAAAAGGAGGGATTAATTAAATAATAGCTCAGGTTTCTCAAGATACATTTTTTTAGGCCGGGCACAGAGGCTCGATGCTTGTAATCCTAGCACTTTGGGAGGCCAAGGCAGGCAGATCACTTGAGTCCAAAAGTTCAAAGACAGGTTGGGCAACATGGCAAAATCCTCTCTACAAAAAAAAAAAAAAATGCAAAAATTAGCAAGGCGTGGTGGCACGTACTTGTAGTCCCAGCTAGTCAAAAGGTTGAGGTGGGAAGATCACTTAAGCCCAGGAGATTGAGCTGAGATTGCACCACTGCACTCCCACCTGGGCCACAGAGTGAGATGAGACTGTGTCTCAAAAAAAAAAGATATAGTCTTTCTCCAGCTATAAAATGGAAAACATATATTTTTATCTTTCTTTTAATAGAATGTTTTTAATTAAGAGCAAGTTGATTTTAAGGTAAGTTGCCACTAGCATATAAACCTCCTGAGAGGAGGGATTTTTGTCTCTTTTGTTCACTTCTCTAGCCACAGAACCTAACAGCACCTGCACAGAGTAGACATTCTGTATTTGTTGAGTAGATAAATTATGAAAAGTCTCACTGACATGATTTTTTAATCGTACATTCATTATTCATTATTCTGTCACTGGTTGCTGGATGTGGCTTAGACTGCTGCCTAGTTAGCGACACAGTCACCAGCACAGTAATGATATATATTCCCAGGCCTATTCCTATAGCATCTCGACTCAGTAGATTTGGGGTAGGGCCAGACAAAAAGGTTTTTGTTAAGTAAAGCCAGCTTTAAAACCCTCTTAAAAATCTATTTTTTGAGCAGAGCCTGCATTTGTAAAATGTTTTCATATAGTATAAGATGGAACCTCTTGATAAGCATGGCGTTCTTGCACTAGGCCAGTATATTTCTTATATAGGTCAGTGGTTCTCAACCAGGGGGCATTTGGCAGTATATGGAGACTTTTTTTTTTTTTTTTTTGAAACGGAGTCTTGCTCTGTCACCCCAGCCGGAGTGCAGTGGCATGATCTCGGCTCACTGCAACCTCTGCCTCCCAGGTTCAAGTGATTCTTCTGCCTCACCCTCCCAAGTAGCTGGGATTACAGATGGGCACCACCACTCCTGGCTAATTTTATATTTTTTGTAGAGATGAGGTTTCACCATGTTGGCCAGGCTGGTCTTGAATTCCTGACCTCAAGTGATCTGCTTGCCTCAGCTTCCCAAAGTGCTGGGATTACAGGCATGAGCCACTGTGTCTGGCCTGGAGACATTTTTGATTGTCACAACTGGAGGGAAGAGATTGTCACAACTGGTAGCTAGCAGGTAGAGCCCATGGATGCAGCTGAACACCCCACAACATATAAGACAGCCTCCACAAGAAAAAATTAACCCAAATGTCAGTAATGTTGAGGTTAAGAAACCCTGTTACATACTGTTAGATAAAATTTTGTTCTCATGTTAAGGTTATATTTCAGGTACACAGTTTAATCCCTGGTATTTCCAAATGCCCATAAAAATAGGTCACTTGCAACAAGACTCTCCTGTATGGCATACTGTGTTTTTTTCTGTCAGTTCATTTTAATCTACTTGAAAAGCCCTTGGGATTAATTTTTAGAGCCCTTTGCAATAGCAAAATATATACTCTTTCCTTTTTTTAATTGACAAATAGTAATTGTATATGTTAATGGGGTACAGATGATGTTTTGAAATGTTTGCAATCGAGAATGCTTAAATCAGACTAATAAATCCATCACCTTACATACTTAACAATTTTAGTGGTGAAAACATAAAATGTTTTAGCAATTTTGAAATATACAGCACATTATTATTTATTATAGTCACCCTATTCTGTGTGATAGATCACTAAAGCTTATTCCTCCTGTCCAACTGAAACTTCATACTCTTTGATCTACATCTTCCTTTTCCCCATCCATCTCCCTCTTCTGGAGTTTTCTGTAATATTTTCATCACCTGCCTAAAACACTGCTTAAATCACAATCATTATGAGTACAGAAGAGTCTTTATACTTTGAAGGTTTTGAATGTAACATGCCTAACAGCTGCAGATGGGTAATGCAAGTTAAAGAATGTCAAAAACAAAGAACTTTAGGTACAAAATTTCTATAACAATTTTGTAAGAGATGTCAATATGAAATTCATTTTTTTAAAGTCAGATTCAGGGACTTTTCCAAAGTATGCATGGAAGACTACAATTTGAGATTTAGAAATCACATTTTAAACCTCTTCTTTATACTTGCTACCTAAGAGGCTGGGTTATGGGGATTTTTGCCAATTCGATATCCTATATTAACTCATGTGTATTCATTTTTATAGATATAGGAATTTTCCTGTGGTGGAGGCAAGTTGGTCAATGCTGCATGATCAGAGGCCATATTTATGTAATTTCTTAGGAACGATTTATGAAAATTCATCCAGACAGGCACTAATGAATATTTTGAAAAAAGATGGGAACGATAAACTTTGTTGGGTTTCACCAAGAGAACAGTAAGTTCTATGCTTATTTAATTCATTCATTTTGTTCTCTAGTCTGAGAGTTGCTTTGTGGTTTCCAAAGAAGCATTGTTCTCTATTTGCACCAGTCTTTCCCCAGAAGATACATTAGTAATTAAAACTGTGAAAAGACTGGGTTGTACACATTTTAAATAGGGAGAACCTCCTATGGCTGTAGTCCATCTTGAAGAGGAATACTGGTAACTGTCATTTGCAAATTTCAGTTGTTAAGGTTTCCTCAATAATATTTGTTAGTCACACAGAAGATTATAAATGCCACTAGATTCTTAGGTTCATCCCTGAGATGATATGCAGTGGACCAATTCAATGTTCTAAGACCAGTATGCAATACCTCTCACATATTCAGGAATTCAGGAACCTGAAACCATCTTCAGGACGGGGACCTTGTATTCTTCTTCCGTGAATCCCCAGATCTAACATAGGACTTTGCACAAGGGGGCCTAGGATAAATGGTGAGTGGATGAATGGTTGGATAGGGAGACTCAGTAGGGTTAAATTTCTTCTTTTATGTAGTAACCAAAAAACAGGTATTTAAGGAGTGAAGGAAGTAAATGTGCGATCATTTTTTTGTTTTTAAATAGGCAAGTCAAGTTTTCAAATAAAGTATAAGGCAGAGTCACCAGGGAAGTAATGCCTTAAAAATGTCTAGTTAGGTCTGGAATTTATTTTACTTTTTAAATTATAGCAGGTACTGTCTTCTAGAATGTGTAATTCCTAACTTTATTGCTAATGTAATCATATTCATTCAGTCAACATTTACCAAGCAATTGCTATATGCCAGAAACTGTTTACCCACAGTAAATACAACAGCAGTAAACAAAACAATCAAAGTCCATGTCCTCCTGTCACTTAAACGATTGTTGGAGGAGACAAGCAAGTAAAATATATTGTGTCAGAAGATGATAAATGCCCTATAAAAATTAAGCAGAAGAATGACACAGAGAGGGCTTGGGTGTTTTTGGTGGAGCATTTGCTATTTTGGAATAGCCAAGGAAGGCATTCAATAGAAGGTTATATTTATGCACAGGCCTTAAGAATGTACACAGGTGAGTCTTATGTATGTCTGGGAGAAGACTATTCCAGACAGAGGGAAGATAAAATGAAAACTGCATTGTTTTTCTGATTTTCTAGGTGGCAGCCTCAGGAAACAAATGAAAGTCTTAAGAATTACCAAGATGCCTTGCTTCAGAGTGATCTCACATTGTGCCCTGTCGGAGTAAACACAGAATGCTATCGAATCTATGAGGCTTGTTCCTATGGCTCCATTCCTGTGGTGGAAGACGTGATGACAGCTGGCAGCTGTGGAAACACATCTGTCCACCACAGTGCTCCTCTGCAGTTACTGAAGTCCATGGGTGCTCCCTTTATTTTTATCAAGAACTGGAAGGAACTTCCTGCTGTTTTAGAAAAAGAGAAAACTATAATTTTACAAGAAAAAATTGAAAGAAGAAAAATGTTACTTCAGTGGTATCAGCACTTCAAGACAGAGCTTAAAATGAAATTTACTAATATTTTAGAAAGTTCATTTTTAATGAATAGTAAAAGTTAACTTAAATATCTTTTTGACCTAAGACGTGATTTTTAAAATCATTTTGACTACTGGGTGTATGTGTGTTTGTGTATGTATGTATTGATAGATGTTCTTTAAGGTACCCTTGTAAACTGTAGATTATGTATGTCACACTGACCATGTACTCCCTTACTGGGCCACTCCTGTGTACAAGCAAAAAATGTAGTTAAATTGTTACTGAGATTCACTTCTACGTAGTTGAATGATTCAACATTTACCAACTATTCTCACCCATTTAAACCCACTCTATAAAATGGGGCTTCAGGGGCTGGGGTTATTGAAACAGTTGGGGAGGTGGAGCTATGTCTGTCAAAGGATACAAAATTTCAGTAACACAGGAGGAGTAAGTTCAGGAAATCTATTGTACAACATGGTGACTATAGTTAATGACAATATATTGCATTCTTGAAAAATGCTGAGAGTGGATGTTAAGTGTTCTCACCACAAAACTGTGAGGTAATGCATATGTTAATTAGCTTTAGTCAATCAACTATATACTTCAAAATATATTGTACATAGTAAATACATACTATTTTATCTGTCAATTTATAAAGAACTACCAGAAGACAGACAAACCCACTCTAGGACACAGCATTACGTAGTTGAAAGACCAGGTTTTGGAATCAGACAAAACCTGTGTTAAAACATTGCTTCTGCACCTTCTAACCAAGGACCTTGGGCAAGCCACCTAAGCATTCTGAGTCTTACTTCCTTTTCTTATAAAATGGAGATAATTTATCTCACAAGTTTGGTTGGAAATATGAAATATAAAGTACCTCGTGTGTGTGTGTGTGTGTGTGTGTGTGTGTGTGTGTGTGTGTATTACACACTAGGTACATACACTAGGTACTTTATATATGTTGGCCAGGTGGGTATTAAACTCCTGACCTCAGGTGATCCACCTGCCTTGGCCTCCCAAAGTGCTGGGATTACAGATGTGAGCCACCATGCATGGCCAGAAAAATATTTTCTTATAAATTTAGTGTAGCCTAAGTATACAGTGTTTTATAAAGTCTACAGTAGTTTACAGTAATGTCCTAGATCTTCACACTCACCACTCACTCAGAGCAACTACCAGGCCTGCGAGCTCCATTCATAAGAACTCTACACAGATGTGCCATTTTAATCTTTTACATCATATTCTTACTGTACCTTTTCTATGTTTAGCTACACAAATACTTAACATTTATGTTACAGTTGCCTACAGTATTCAGTATAGTGACATGCTGTACATAGAGGTTTGCATCTGAGGAGCCATAGCCTACACCATGCAGCCTAGGAGTATAGTAGGCTATACTATTCAGGTTTGCATACATGCACTCTATGATGTGTTGAATACAGTGAGTTCCTCTTCAAAGGTTCCACTTTTCAACTCCTTCATTCTTTGTTCTCTATTTTCAAAGCCTAACTTCCTTAATCCTTGTGCCTCCTTGCCCCTAGTTACAATAAACAACCTTCCAGTCATTCCCACTCTATAACCCACATCCGTTCCCAATCTGTAACCCATATCTGTTCCTTATTTGACACTCTTAGTTCTGAAACTGCTCTTCTCACCACTGTAGTCCCCACCCCTGCTCCATTTGAAATAGCCAATCGAGATCAGCTTAGATTGTGTAGTCTGACTCCAATGAGGACCAGACACAGTAGCAGGGACTGGCTGAATTAGGGATAGAAACCCCTTCTCTCTTTTGTTTGGTGTGCTCTTGCACTGGCCAAAAGTACAAGCAGCACTTTTCTGCAGAAGTAAATTTGCCTTGCTGAGAAATCCTTTATTTGAGTGCTCATTTTCTTTTCAACTCTGAGCTCTTATTTCCAACAGATGTTTGCATGACAAAATCATGTAAGGATGTATTTCTTAGGACATATCCCTGTCATTAACCTACTCATGGCTGTAGATCTTTAGTATGCTCAGAAAGAATTAGAGTCCTGCTTGCTGTAAGTTGTCTGGCAAATGACTTGGCATCCTCAGTGTGTTATAGGTCCTCAAATGGCTCTTTTAGCCCCACCTAGATGTCTTTTGGGCACTTAACCCACTTAACTAAAACTGTATTCATTGTCTTCTTCCAAAATACACACACACACAAATCTATTTCCTCTCATTTAATCTCTATAAATGGTTTCACTAGTTATTTCCCAAGCTACAATCTGTAACATATTTCTCCCTGTTCCTCCAATTAATCACCAAATTCTGTGCCTTTTACCCCCAAGTCTTCCTAGAATAAGGCCTCTCCCTCCATCCCCACCACCTCTCCCTCATTTTCAGACCACAACTGTGTCTTCCCTGCCTCTTAATTCTCAGCCCTGCCTTAGTTTCATGGGTGCAAGTTAATCATTTCCAATTTCAACAAACTTTAAATCTGAAATGTCACGTTCATTGAAAGAAAAATGCCATAAAATAATAGGTCAGGCTCGGTGCCTTGTGCCTTGTAATCCAGGAGTTTTGAAAGGCCAGTGCAGGAAGATCACTTGAGGCCAGGAGAGCAAGACCAGCCTGGGTAACATAGTGAGACCCATCTTTACAAAAAAAAAATCTTTAATTAGTGAAGCGCTGTGGCATGCAGCTATATTTCCAGATACTTGAGAGGCTGAAGCAGCAATGAGCAATGTTCACACCACTGCACTCCAGCCTGAGTGACAGAGTGAGATCCGTCTTTTAAAATGAAGAAAACATACATACATACTCCTAAAACATAAGTACTATCAGGTCACAATCCTAATTAAAAGCATCTGTGGCATTTTGTTGCCTATAATATAATCTTTTTTTTTCTTTTTGAGACAGACTCACTTTGTTGCCCAGGCTGGAGTACAGTGGTGCAATCTTAACTCACTGCAACCTCCACCTCCCAGGTTCAACAAGCAGTTCTCCTGCCTCAGCTTCCTGAGGGATTACAGGCATGTGCCACCAAGCCTGGCTAATTTTGTATTTTTAGAGGAGATGGAGTTTTTACCATGTTGGGCAGGCTGGTCTCAAACTCCCTACCTCAAGTGATCCACCTGCTTTAGTCTCCCAAAGTGCTGGGATTACAGGCATAGGCCACCACATCCAGCTAAAATTAACATTTTATAAATTGTTATTACAAGATCCTTCACAATCTGACTCAACTTATTTCTCCAGTCTTGTCTTCTTCCACCCCTCAACAAGTGCTCTAGCCTTCCCTCATTATATGTTCAGTAAACATGCTCTCTTGGGCACTTTTATATAAGCTTTTTTCTCTTCTAGAATAAAAATGTGTCATCCATACCACTTTTAGTAGCTAATTTGTTTCATTCAGTTACTGAACATATTTGTTAGTCTACCTCCTTCCACTGTAATATAAAACTCTAGCAGAAAAGAAGCTTTGAACATTTTTTTCACCTTTATTGTGTATAAGCCACTGTAATTTTAAGTCTCTAACAAAGCAATGGAATCTATATCATAACAAAAACATCCAAACATATTTTTGAGGTATTATATTCTAAAAGTATGTGTTAATCAACATGATGCCAGGAAGGTGTTTCTATACCGTGAGTGAATTCTTACTTCACAACAGAGACTATGTTTTGTCCTAGAGTAAAAGAATGAATCAAACAACTCTCCCTTTTATTTCTAACAATGAAGCTGAAGAACTTAAATAGCACCCTTGCTTTAACACTCAAAGATTTAAATTGATGAAATCTGTCAAGCATGGTGACTCATGCCTGTAATCCCAGCAGTTTTAGAGGCCGAGGCAGGCAGATCGCTTGAGCTCAGGAGTTCAAAACCAGCCTGGGCAACATGGTGAAACCCCAACTCTACAAAAAATACTAAAGTGTTGAGTATGGTGGCACATGCCTGCAGTCTCAACTACTCGGGAGGCTAAGGTGGCATGATCACTCGAGCCCAGGAGGTCGAGGCTGCAGTGAGCCATGATCGTGCCACTGTACTTCACCCTAGGCAACAGAGCAAGGCCATATCTGAAAAAAAATTATATTAATAAACTCATGAAATCTTATACTGTTTTTCAAATTTATATTTTATTTAGGCAGATTTTTAAATAATAAAGTAATATTTTTTCAGGTAGTAAATTTCTACCACAAAAACAATTTGATGTTACTGAGATTAATTACAAATTGAAGAAACTATCAGGTGTTGCATAAAAAAATCTTACCTATGAGATATATTATTTGATCTGCAAAATAATTTGAGATTTAAAGCCATAACTAGTAAGTAGAACTTCTAAAATATAAAGTTTACTACCGTATCAACAATTTCTAACATAAGAAGTTTATAAATGTAAAACGACAGCTTAAACGTCTATGAAAAATCAGTATTCACAAGCATCACGAATTATTGATATTTAATCATTTGTTACCATGAAAACAGTAATTAAAACACTATTTTTTTTTTTTTAATACGGAGTCTCTGTCACCCAGGCAGGAGTACAGTGGCACAATCTCAGTTCACTGGAAACTCCACCTCCTAGGTTTAAGTGATTCTCCTGCCTCAAACTCCTGAGTAGCTGGGATTACAGGTACACGCCACCACGCCTGGCTAATTTTTCTATTTTAGTGGAGACAGGGTTACACCAAGTTGATCAGACCAGTCTGGAACTCCTGACCTCAAAAGATCCTCGGCCTCCCAAAGTGCTGGTGTAGGGACGCCTGGCTAATTTTTCTATTTTTAGTGGAGACGGGGTTACACCATGTTGATCAGGCCAGTCTGGAACTCCTGACCTCAAAAGATCTACCCACCTGAGCCTCCCAAAGTGCTGGGATTACAGGTGACCGACTGCACCCAGCCTAAAACACTACGTTAAGGTCTGTAGAGGCTTGCTTGAGCTCAAAACTTCGAGGCTGCAGTGACTTATGATTGCATCAAGGCACTCAAGTCTGGGCTACAAAATTAGATCTTGTCTCATATATATACACACACACATATATAT